CCAATAATGCCATTATAAGAACCTAGAACCTAGGGGACACAATGAAAGCTGCTGTAAGGGGAAAGTTTATAGCTGTGAATGCCCCCATTAGAGAAACAGAGAAATCCTATATTAATAACCTAATGATTCACCTCAAGTTTCTAGAAAACAAAAACAAACCAAATTTTAAACTAGTACAAGAAGAAAATTATAAAATCAGCAGATATTAATGAACATGAAACTAAAAGAACAATGTAAAAAATCAGTGAATCAAAGAACTGGTTCTATGAAAGGATAAGCCAATTAGACAAATGTGTATGCAAACTTGCCAAAAAAAGGAAAGAAAAATACCTGTATGAATGAAATTAGAAATGAAAAAAGCAAAATCACAAAGGACAACCATGAAATCCAGAGGATTAGTAGTTTGAAAACCTGTAGTGCAAGGAATTGGAGAATCCAGTGACAATAGACAGATTTCTAGAACCATATGAATTGCCAAAATTCAACCAAGAAAACATAAAAATGTTGTCAGTCCAATAGTGATAATGAAATTGAGGGAGTAATAAAAATGTATCACGAAAAACACAGGACTCCAGGGATTCACCACTCAATTCTGCAAGAACTTCAGAGAAGATTCAACACTAATACTCCTCAAATTCTTCCATAAAATTGAAAGGAAAGGAATACTGCCAAGTTCATTGCTGGAAACTAACATTACCCTGATAGCAAAACCAGATGAGGACCTAAAAAATAAAACTACAGGCCAATCTCTTCTAATGAACATACATAACAAAAATCCACAAAAGTATGATGGCAAACAGAATGCAACAAATCATTAAAAATATCAGACATGATGACCAAATTGGACTCATTGGCAGGATTCAACGGTGGTTTATTTAACATATATAAATCAGTAAATGTACTATATTACCTAATCAGAAGAAAGGAGAAAAACACATGGTTATCTAGATAGACACAGGAAAAAGCCTTTAACAAAATTTAACATCCATTTATGATAGAAATCCTGAAGAAAACAGGCTTAGAGGAATCTTAGCCTGATAGAGGCCATTTGTGACAAATCTGCCAATATCATTAAAGTTGAGAAAAACAAAGTTTTTTCCCTAAAAACAGGCATAAGACAAGGGTATCCACTCTAACTGCTTCTGTTCAATACAGTACAGTAAACTTTAGCCAAAGCTATCAAGAGAAATAAACTAATTCATATAGGAACAAAAGTAAAACTACCCTTATTCGCAGATGACATGATGCTGTACACAGAAAACTCACACTATTCCGTTAAAAGACTCTTAGAACTAACAAATAAATTCAACAGAGTAGCAAGATACAAAACCAATCAACAAAAACTAAGAGCATTCTTGCCCACACACAGTGAATACACTGTGAAAGAAATCAAGAAAACATTACCATTCAAATTGCTTTAAAAATGAAATACCTGGGCATTAACTTAACCAAGGAAGTGAAAGATCTCTGCAATGACAGTTATAGTACTGTGAGAACGTAAATCAAAGAGGACACCAGAAAACGAAAAGACATCCCCTCTTCTTGGATAGAAAAACTAATTTTGGCAAAACAGCCATATTATCAAAACAGATTCACATATTTAATAAAATCTCACTCAAAATACCAATTCCATTCTCAGAAGTAGAAAAAAATAGCCCTAAAAGTTATATGCAACCAGAAGAGACCCAAGAGTAGCAAAAGGAACCTGGGCAACAAGAGCCAAGCAGGAGGCATCACAATCCCAGATCTCAAGCTGTATTACAAAGCTATAGTGATAAAAACAGCATGATACTGGAACACATAAACAATGCAGTTCAGTGACACAGGGAATGAAAAAACAACCCCGGGTACAATCAGACATCTGACCTTTAACAAAAGAGCCAAAAATATATGCTGGAGAAAAGACAACTTCTTGAACAAACGGTGCTGGGAAAACTACTTAACCACATGCAGAAGATTGAATCTAGACCCATATCTCTCACTGTACACTAAAATGAAATAAACATGGGTCAAAGACCTAGATAATAAAACAATGTGTTGATAGATAGAAATATTTAAAACTCTTGGAGGCATAGGCATAGGCAAAAATTTTCTGAACAGCACCCGAGTAACAGAAGAAGTACCATAAAGAAATAAAAAATGGGATTATATCAAATTAAAAAGTCCCACATACAAATGGGGTTTTTTTGTACCAGGAATTGAGCTCAGGACCTTGTGCTTGCCAGCCAGGCACTTATGCCACTGAACTATATCCCTGGTCTCACATACAAATGGGAAGAAACTGTTCAGAAGGAAAGAGAAATGGGGGAAAGGAGAAAAGAAGGATGGGAAAAGCAAATATATATGATAGTTAATATAGTTATACTACTAATTTCTCTAAGTTCATTGAAAAGAAAGTTTTGTGCTAGTATTATTTGGACAATTAAATGCCTATATCTTGTACTCTGAGCAACTAATTTAAAGATAACAATAAGCAATTTATTAATCATTGTCACTCTATTATCTTGTTTTGAAATTTTGTTTTATTTTTTTCTCTTCAAAATAAATTTTTTTTTAAAAGGACCCACATAGCAAAGAGACTACCTATTGAATGGGGGGAAATTTCCAGATACTCTTCAGAAAGAGGACTAATATGTAGAATGTATAAAGAACTCTTAAAAATTATACCCTCAAAAATGTAAAACTATTGAATTGAAATGAATTTTTCAGGAAAAAAATACAAATAGCTAATAAGTACATGAAAAAATTTTCAGCATTTTTGGCCATTAGAGAAATGCAAATTAAAACAACAATGATATTCTACCTTACTCCAGAAAAAATGGCTATAATCAAGAATTCAGAAAACAACAAATGCTGATGAGACTGTAGGGAAAAAGGAATCCCTTTACACTGTTGGTGAGAATGTAAGCTAGTAAGTCACTATGCAAATCGGTGTGGAGATTCCTAAAAAAACTGAAATTACAAATTCTATTTCACAAAGCTATACCCTTTCTAAGTATCTTTCTGAAAAAGTTAAAACCATATTATTTCTGTGGTACATGTATACCCATTTATAGCAACACAACTCAGAATAGATAAATCTTGGAAACAGCCTGCATGTCCACCAGCAGATGAATGGGTAAAGAAGATGTGGTATATTACTACTCAGCCATAAAGAAAAATAAATTTGTATCATTTGTAGGAAAAGGGATGCATCTTGAGACCATAATGCTTAGTGAAATACATCAGATACAGAAGTTTAACTTGGTTTCTCTCATATGAAAAAGCCAAATTATAATTAATTCTAAGAGTATAATTCAAAATAGTAGAAAACCAAGAAATAGACCTTTTGCAAATGGGAAGGAGATCTAGAGTTGGAGGGTGGGAGAGGGAAATAAAAAGGATGAAGATAATATAGGTACTTGTACCATCTACCCAAGATAAATATATTTATTATGTATTGCCAACTTGTACTACTAATAAGAAATGTAACAGGTCAATGCAAAAACCTCAGTATTAATATGAATTAAACATACTGCTGTTCTACAGAAAATTATAACAATTTCAACCTGTAATTGTGTTGATTATTGTTTCACATATTTTGTAGCCATACTATTAATTATAAACAACTTTAGCATTTTTCTGATGCATCAAATATTTTATCAATATATTGAGATAATGTCCGTTTTTGCCTTTAAGCTATACTATTTTACAATTTTTTATTAGTGTATGTTTGAATCACACAATAAATGTATTCATTGTGGGGAATCAGTACATACACACTGCATTTTGATTCTTTTACTTTCCCTTCTCCTCCCCACTTTGCATCTGTTCCCATCTCCAGATTGCTTTCTTATCTTCATAAATTCTTTATCCCTATTTTCTGTCATCTTTCATTAATTTTACTCTTTAAATTATTTATACTTTGGGATTCTCAAGCTTTCTTCTTCAGTGTAACTATTGCTATAACAATATATACATAGTAATTACAATGACTAGCATAGAACATATGCTTTTTGCTTAGTATTTTCCCACTATATCTTGTTGTCTTCAACCCTTACTATTTCTCTGTCCTTCTATTTCAGCAGTTCATATTTTATTTAAATATAGTAAATATTTAAGTCATTGCCATTTAACTAGAATTTGGTCTGTTAACATTTGTGTTTATTGGTATATTTGAATCAATTTTCATGATCATATTTTTTCTCACACTATGCTTTTATGTGTTTACCCTTGGAAAGGAAGACCTTCACTCATACCACATGTTCTACCTCGAGAAAATGCAGTCTGGTTTATCGGGAAAGGTTGTATGCTGAGAAGTACCGAAGTAGAAAGCATTTTCTAGTCGAAAGCATATGCTAATAGATCCAGACTTTAGAAGTTAGGCAGATAATGCTTCTTTTGTCTATATCAGAGAGAAACTTTATTCACTGCATTTATTTTCTGTGAGGACTCTGGAGCAGACTACCTAGAAATTATTGAAAATCCCAAATTGTCCTTCTTGATACTTTTTAAACACTTAGAAATGTGTTTGTACAGATTTAGAAATAATATTTTGGAGGAAATACAGTTTTTCCCTTACGGACATACTCTTGAAATTTTTCACTATTACAATACTCAGGGTCCATATTGGGGGGTATATTGTTCAGTAAGGATATATCACTGTGTTGTACAATTGGAATGATAATAAATGATGGTAGCATAAAAAGACAAAACATGTTTAGTTGTTTAGATAAAAATTTTATCCCTATTGTTTGTCAGTGATGATTATGTACACTTGTACTTAAACCAATAGGCTGTTAGTTTCTATGCATATTACGCAGTTCAACACAATAATTTTGTTTGAATATTATTGTTTAATATAGAAAATCCTTGGCCTTATTCCCAAAACTTAAGGAAGCACTTGATAAACCTAAATCCACTTTTGCTTCCTCACTGCATTAATTTATATTCAAACCTACTTAAAATGTTGTAGTTTAGACAATTACACCACTGATTAAGAAATAAAATTTGTCTTTCAGTATGAGTATATGGGCTCTGATATGACATTGGCTGCTGAAAAAGTTGTTTTTATCTTTCATCTTATGAACACTGTAAGTATTTGTTTCACATTTAGCTAAGAAACATATTAATACAGTAATATTCTCTACATAAATGGCATTTTCATACTTAAAAAGTATAGTCCTACTAGCAAGTTTCATCATGAATGGATCTATCTTCAGAAATAGTAAACTGAATATATTAGGATCATGTATATAATCCTGTGGTGTTATATTTGTTGTTATTCAAAATGCTATGTGTGTATCTTCTGCCTTCAGATGTTTTCTCAGCTTAAAATGAAGATTTTTTTATCTTCTTTGGAGGCTTGGTCAGATCAAAATAAGATTTCAACTAACGGGAATGCTGATGATGTGCTACAAAGATTTTTGACATGGAAACAAAAAGTTTTGTTTCAGAGGTCCCACGATATGGCATATCTATTAATGTAAGCACTTTATACACATTGATAGACTTCATATGTTAACTGCCAAACTTATATACAAATGTCATTGTTTGTACTAAGGTGATCTCCTAAAAAGTTTGCATGAGTATTGTATTGGCAAAACACTAAATAACTATAACAGTATAAGAAACTAATTAATCACAATCATATGCTATTCCCACAAGAGAATGTTTACTTAGGGAAATTTAATTGAAATCACCATTTTAACATTACACAAAGTGTAAATTAGTTAATGGGATGCACAAATTTCATACAATACATTATGAAGGTACAAATAATGCAACCTAAAACATGAAAGTAGGAAATGACTGAGATGAACCACTCTGCTGTTTCTGTCGTTACCTTCTAGCATTTTTGTACCCATGAAACATGTAGCTATTTGTAGTGGCTTGACAACTGGTGGTCAATTTATAATCCTCAGCTGAACTAAGTGTGGTGCTGACTGTGGGAGGCCCACCTGAGGATTGTTGCCAGCACCAGAAGAGGCAGAACTGGAGAAGAAGAAATTAGGCTGTTGGGAACTGAGAGGAGGCTATTGGGAGCTGGTAGAAGCTATAGGGAGCTGTTGGTTCTTTTGGAGAAGCTCATCATGCTTGTTTTCCCGATGAACTCAGCTGTTTTCATCCTGTAAGGAGCTTGGGACCTTGTTGGCACTGAGAATGGCTTCAGTCCTCTTTGGGGAGCTCTGGTCCTCACTTTGAGCATCGCTTCCTGCTTCCAGAGGGGAAGATGGTGCACTGCCAGTCTCCTGGACAAGCTTGTCGCATTGGCTTTCCTGATGGGAACTTGGCTTTCCTGATGATCAGAGAAGCTTAGGACTTCACTGTTGCTGAGGATGGCTGTGGTACTTTTCAGGAGAGCTCTGGTTCTTACTTTGTACATTACTTCCTGGCTCCAGTGTAGATCCTTCAGCCTGCTAGCACAGATCCTTCATCCCGCTGGCGCAGACTTTCTACCTTCCACCTTTGGGCCTTCCCAGCACAGATGTGTGAAACAGGCCTTCATGAGATATTGCTATGGGCTCTAGGCCTCCAGCTGGACTCGTCAGAAGCATTGTTATGAGCTCTAGGTCTTCAGCTAGACTCATGCAAGATATTTCTGTGGGATCCAGTCCCTTAGCTAGATTCCTTGGTCTTAGTGTGTGGACAGATTTCCTGCACTCTCCTGTATATATCATTCTTTGGGTGACATTATAAATAATCTTACAAAAATGTGTCCTGTATTATATATTGTTTCCCCTTGCAAAATAAGCACCAAACCATAACACTATTGAACTACACACCTTGTATTTTTAACAGCCTTTATATAGATTGTTTTTGTATTGCTTATCCTTTCCATTTGGAAGGATAAAAGGTGAAAAGGAAATTTGAAGCCTAAGACATGATATGTAATAACTTTGTTTTAAAGAAAGCATAACTATTTAGATATTCAATTAAAAATGATTAAGTTGCTAATAACTTAATATGTGTTTCTTCACAAGAAAAATTGTATTATTTAGTTACAGGGACCATCCTGATTATGCGGGAGCAACATATCACGGAATGGCCTGTGATCCAAAGTTTTCTGCAGGAATTGCCTTGGTATGTATTTGATTACCAAGTCTTCATGAGTAGTACCACCCAATTTTGAACATTGAAATACGGTCACAGAAAAAGTAAACATTTTTAGATTTTGAAGTTTTACCATTCTTTGATCCCACCAGAAGCTCACAATGGTTTATATCATATTCCCCACATATCTGCCAACATTAGTTATTTTTTCTATAGTTGTTTAATAGCAACCGGCTTAAAGGTTCCTACAAAATGATGATATTAATCTTATTTTCTCACCACCACTTGAAGTAAAAGTGCTGTATCTACTTCTTTCAGTTGTAGTTAGAAATTATTTAACTGTAAATTTGTAAATTCATTTATGTAATATGGCCAGAGTTGTTTGATGAAATTGATGGGATGAAGGAATAACTGAGGCAACCTTTTTTCTTTTTTAGTATCCAAAGATGATAACTATAGAGGCATTTTCAGTTGTTCTGGTGCAGTTGCTTGGGATTAATCTGGGATTAACATATGATAACATCTATAACTGTGACTGTCCAGGGACTACATGCATAATGAATCCTGAAGCAATGTAAGGTTTTATATGTACAATAAATGTGTCTTCTCTTGGGAAATGTGGGTAGTATTCCTTGATGTACTACTTCTTGTAATATAAGTTCAGTAAGAATGTACTTATTAAGTACATATTATTTAAGACATTAAAATGATCAGTGTAGAAACAGGCTTAATATTTCTATATTTAGGGTTTCAGCATAGAGAGAAATTGGATGTTGATGACTTTCTGCTTTTATAGAGTCATGGTAGAGCTGAAAAACTTCAGGATCAGAACATGAATTGACCAAAAGAAATATCCTTATAAAGAATAGTAGTTGAAACCCTGGCAAAAGAAAGTGAAATACGCTGAAGTTAAAAGTATCATGAAGGCCAGGTGTGGTGGCACATATTGGTAAGCCCAGCACTCGGGAGGATGACTGCCAGGAGGACCACTGTGAATTCAAGTCCAGCCTGGGCTACATAGAGTTTGAGGCCAGCCTGAACTACATAGCAAGACTCTGTCTCAAAAAACAGAAAGTACCATGAGTCAGTAACAGATATTGAAAAAACGATTGATTCTGGAAAGGAAAATAATGGGGTAATATACTGAGGAGTGTTAAATCGGAGGTATTCCTACTCATCTACTGGAGTTGTTCAGTACAGTTTGTTGCATATTTCCAGATCACAGCAGACAAGGGGTATATTTCCAGATCACAGTAGACACAGTGCCTAACTTGTGTGAGGCATAAGCACATCAGTGAGAACAAAACTATAAACAGGTCTTCCAGAAAGACATTTTCAAGTGAAAATAGGTGTCTAATGATGAAACTTTGATTGATTTTCATATGTATAACCTGAATAATTGAAGGTAAAGCTGTGATATGAAGGAGTCGAAAGGAAGATAATATTAAGACAAGAGCCAAAGTAGAATGGCAGTCTTCCCAAATTCTCTCACATGCAGAGATAAAATGAGGTAAACAGATGTAAATGAATGTATAGAGCCTAAGTCCTCCCAAATAGAATTTACCAAGAAATACCACCAAGCGGCAAGATTTCCACTGCCAAAATCAGACCTAGGAAATAAGTAACTGTGTGGGAAGAAGCCAGTGGATCCTCCAAATCTTATATACCTGAGAATTCATAAATCATTGGCCAATCCATACTCCACTGGAGAAACTTGGCACAACTAGCACTGAAATATCAGTAAAGTCATGACAGTAGAAGGGACAAAATGAGTGAGGATTTTGCAGATTGAAAGTGATGGTGAAGGAACTCTGAACATTTGTTAAAATGTTAGCTTATCCTTGGTCCCTGTCCTATGAAATCTGATATAAGTGAGCACATATCTGGTCCATTCTGTGGTTTTAAATTCTCTTGTCCAGCAAGAGGACTCTGCAGAAATGTCATATTCTGTGATCAAGGCAAAGAAAATACAAATGAGCCTGGAACATCTTGCTTCTAAAATAAGGAGCTGCTCAAAGAATTCTGGAGATTTTTCAAGGGCAAAAATAGTCAAATGGGCTCTTCTGTTCAAAATCTGAGAAAATTTGATTGTTAAAAATAATACTGATTGTGCTTATAGCCCATAAATGAAGTAGAAAATTATGAGTATACATTGGTATAAATACATAAATGAAGAAATTAAAGTGTAACTAACAGTGCAGTATTTACATAAAACCTAACTACTCCTTTCCAAATAACTACTAACTGAAATAGCATGAAAAATAATTTTACAGTGAAGACTGGCAAACACACTTTAATCAACTGATCAAAGTAGTTTTTGTCAATAATAGAACAAATTGAAATCATATTGATAGGGTAAGAGAGACTCCATGTAACTCCATTTTAGAAGTCACTTAAACTTCAGATGAACTCAATTCTTCACTCACTCCCTGATAGCTAACAAAAGAATAGAGCTATGAAATGGGAAACATACTTAAAACAAATTGTAGGTAAGTTAAAATTCAACCATACTAACAAACCCCTCAGAAATGTAAACCCTGTGACCATGATGTGGCATGTTGTAAACTTCCTAACTGAAGTAATTTGGTTACCATGGTTACTTGTAAACATATAAAAACCCAATACAATCTTGTCTGGTCGACAGCATCTTGTTTTTCTGACTCTTGGTCAGTGGTGTCGTGTGTGTGCTTCAATAAAGCTTTGCTTGTTCCCACACTTTTGGCTTCTTGTGAGTACCTATCTTGTTGAATCTCCCATAACAGGTAGAGACCTGGCAGCAGGATTAGCCTCACAGGAAGGACCATCCTTTCAGGTGGCCCTGGGCCTCCTTGCCTCGTTGGCCACTCTCTGGGGGGCAGGGTACCCTGGCTGATTTCAGCTGGCACCTAGAGGACAACTGTAAGGTGGGATACGCAGGGCTTCAAAACAGGACAGCTAAGGTATGCTCTCAGACCTAGGAAAGAGTTAAAATTGGAATTGTCTTTGGGCTCACCCAGGAACTTGTTTTGCTTTCCAGACTGACAGTTTGATGGGCCTGGGCTCCCAGACATGGCAGCCATGTTGAGAAATGGTGCAGAACTTTGTCTCTGAATTTGGCATCAGAGTTTCTCTCTGACGTTCATTTGGATTTGGTTAGTTGTGGACTCTTAAATTTTTGTTTTCCAAATTGATGGTGGAGAGCAGTAAATAATCATGGGACTGTGTTTGTCTGTGTCTGTGTTTTGTGTTTTCCCAAATGCACGCAGGATTCCAGGTTGTCTCAGTCTCAGGCTCTTGTATCAATTGTTGGCTGAATAGGGGAGGAAAGACCTGTTGAGGCAAACTATTTTCTCTTTGTTCTAAATTGAGCTATCATGGGCTTGACAGACAGTAACCCCAACATTCTGGTTTTGCATGATTAAGAGTTTTGACAAATTTAAAGGTGATGTGTGTTTGTGGATTCC